TCCGTGTCTTGCGGTCCGTTGCCACCTGTTTTAAAAACGTGTCTGTCACAGCAGAAACAAAACAATGATGCCTACAGAAAGGTGTCGGTATTGCGTACCGTAGAGTAGCGATTGAAAACAAAAGCTACGTGTTAGTAGCGTGCCGTTACGTCCCTTATATATTTGTCAATTAACATAACACAAATTCGATTAGTATCCATAACAGGACGTTGCAGAACAAACCTGAGCATTGGGGGTGGGGGAGGTGGTGGGGGGTGGGGCAGTCCTGTTGTGGTTTTTCTAATTTACTTTCAGTAGTTTGCCATCGCTTTTTAAACGCTGGGCTTTCGATAGTACTTTACAAACCAACGTATAATAAATTTAAATAATTTGGATACCCACAATACATTCCACAATTTGTGACCTGGCATATTTCGCTGTATCTCTTCAGATGCATTGACAAGTAGGCTGGTAGGTAGGTAGGTAGTTCTATCCCACCAGGATATTACACAAGCGCTAAACACCCGGTGACACAAAGTACTACCATGGGGATGAGGATCACCCGTGGAGAGGTACCAGAAACCCCTTTCAGCCTTTCGGCCATATCTATGCAAGACCATATCTATGCCCCGGCTATATTCAGGGGTCCCGACAGAAGCCAGGGTGGCGCTTCAAACAACAAATTGCATCCCACGAGGGGACGACTATTTGCATGGTGTAAGTTAGTTGACTGACTGACTGACTTTCTACCCCACCAGGACATCACACAAGCGATAAACGCCCGATGACACAATGTGCCACCATGTGGATGAGGATCACCGTGGAGAGGTCCCAGAAATCGCGTTCAGCCATTAGGCCATATTTATAGCCGGGCTATATTGAGGCCCCTGGCAAGAGCCAGAGTAGGGCTTCAAATAACGAAAAATTTTATCCTAAAAAAGGACGAATTGTAGTAGTGTAGGCCTAAATTAGTTGCGTGTCCTTTACAAGACTTTGCAGAACCAACATTTTTTGGCTGTTGTGTTTTTTTTAAATAGGCAAATTTTACCACCAGTGTCGAAGCCAATGCAAGACATTGTGCTAACGAAACGTCTGCAGCTGGGATCGAACCCGTCAACACGACATAACGTAGCGCGTTCGCAACGCTTAAGCCACAGACTTCGACAACATAACAAAACCACTGCAATTTCTCTTAATCTAAACTTAGGGCCCTTAATGCTTTATTTTACCCCGATTTCTGCACAGTCATGGCCAGACCGGGCCGTGTAAATAGGAAGGTATGCGTCATCAAGTGCGGGATGACATGCAATCCGAAAAGGTCACTGCTATCTCGTCTTTAGTTGGAAATGTAAAAACGAAATAAACATCTCTGCAGAGATTTCATTTTTTAAATAATATCCAGAAACCATGAGTTGTTTACCCTTTGGCTCGGTATTATGGATACCGCAACCCTTCGGCCTTGATTCCATGTTAGATACCGTAAATATTAGAGAAATGTGGCTTTTCTGCCTACCCCCTGGCGTGAACCCGGACCGTAAGGAGTTCGTTCCACGGTCGCCGCGCATCAGGTTTAACCAACTGAGCTAGCTAGCCGGGCTATGGGGGGAGGAGGTGGGGGGGGGGGGGGGGGGTTCAGCAAATTAGCTTTACAAAATTACTTTTAATTGCATTGTTTTTGGAACTAGAAATGAACTCTCATCAGACATGGGACAGATGCCCCTCTGTTCAAATTCCATCAATATTTAATGATGGGTTTCGTTGTATGTAGACACAATTTTCTTGATTCCAGCTTACATTCCTCTAAAGACTTTTTCCTATGTGAACGAAGTTTGTTGTAAATTATAATAAAGGTTAACGTGTATGTTATGACCCTGTTGACTTGACGACAGTCCGCAGTTCTTTGGCACCCATAACAAAACAATGTAACATGCAATGTGCTCTGCTAGGGGTTCGATTCTACTCGCCACATTGCTGTAATGACGTACACATAGTTGCTAGGAGACACCAGACGACGGACGTCCAGTTTTGACCTTTATTCGCTGATACAAACATCTCACTGACAGCTCATTCTTTCGTCCTCGTGGTCGCTGTGCATGGCTGATTTCTAATGACCTGGCTGCTCTCTCACACGGTGATTCGCTCCGTTCGTATCTCTCGGAGCACACATCAATATCATACTAACGCACTGTACCTGGTATTAGTACATGTTGAAACTGGCAATCAGGAAACATTCATATCTGCTCTCGAACATTATACGTAGTCACAAGTTCTCCATTCTCATCAGGTGTTCTCTCACATACGACCGCACACAACCAGATCCGAACTTCAACTGTCTTACTACCCTCTTTGGGTTCACGTCTTCCGTTACAGTCTCACGTTTTTCTTGTATCCCTTATTCACTCACCACGGGATACTCGAGACCCGCTTATCTCGTTTTCCCACGTATCACTGGTCTTCTGACATTGTCCTCCCCATCGAGAACTCTCTGGGATTTCCTCGGGAATTCACAACATTACAAACAATATAATACAACTTCATTGATTGTCTCTCTTCTGAAACATTTTCAGCGATCGTACTTGGATACGTTTCGGGTGTGCATACGTGCCCAGGTGCTTTAAAGTAAAACATTATACTGTAAATGTTTCAATGTTTGTCTAACATGAATTAATGAATGTCTGCAAGCTTTCAAATTCAACAGTGATTTATATGTCATGATATGCTAGGAGTACAGATACAATGTTTGTGATTCAATTGTCTTGTTCTTAATTTTCTGCCCCTTTTACACAACTTTTCATCGTCCACCTCCCCGTTGTTGTTGTTGTTGTTGATGATTTGATGTTGCTGTTGTTCTTCTTCTTCTTATTCTTCTTCTTTGTTTTTCTCAACGGCTTCTTCACGCATTAGGTTAGGTTAGTTGCGTATCCTTTACAGGACCTCACAGAACCAACCCTAACAGCCCCTGGCTGTTGTGTGGTTTCTCTAGGCAAATGTACGTCCAGTAGTTTGCCATTGCTTTCAGGACGGTCGGCTTTCTTGATACCACTGTCGAAACCAACGCATGGCGCGTGGCTCGCAGCTTAGATCGAACCCGGCATTCCGGCATTACGAAGCGTTGGCATCGACTTAGCCACAGACCCGACATCATTTGCATACCAGCTTCAATTGTCCTGTTAGAAAGAATATTCGTGAAATAAGTTCGGGAACAAAACATACGCTTACAGTTATATTTGTAAACGTTTTTATATTTCACAATTTAGATACTTTTAATGCTTGTGGGAATTTTCATTGTAGCATGCTCCCCACCCCTCCCCCCTTCCATCCATTGCATTTAAAGAACCTATCTGTAACGAGATAACCGCTTCTTCCACAAACCCAACCATGCAAAGAAATCTCTTTCTCTTACGTAATCGTTTAAACATATGTTATTTGAAACATACAGTATTATTATGTTTAGTTGACGTTAACGAGGTTTTGTTCTCTTCATGTGTTTTGTGTGTGTGTGTGTGTATATACGTATAGTATGTTTTTATGGATCCATTGCAGGTGTTAACATGTTTTTGATGCAGGAATAAGACGTTAGTTTATTACAGTCATTATAACGGCTAAACGAGATGACCCATCAGAGAAAATAGTGCAGGAATAGGATCTCTTGGCGCTCAAATATACTAAAATTTTGTCGGAGCTTCGATAAAAAACAATATTAAAAAGTGAGTGTTCAATGTTTAACGAATCTACGGCTTGCTTTTATTTGTGGTAGGGCAAATCGCAAAACACACATTACAGGAGGGGTTAGTTACTGTTGATGTTGCTAATGATATATACATTCTGTCACAACCTCATGAATAATAACTACTGCTGCTGATACTATTACTGCTGCTACTACTACTGCTGCTGCTACTGCTATACTGCCGCTACTATTACTACTACTGCTACTACTACTTCTACTGCTGCTGTTACTACTACTGCTGCTGTTGTATTACTGCTACTGCTGCTGTTGTTACTGTCACTTATGCTTCTGCTACTACTACTGCTACGACTACTACTACTAATGATGCTGCTGCTGTTATTGCTACTACTGCTGCTGCTGCTGATACTACTACCGCTGCTACTGTTATTGCTGTTGCTACTACTACTAACGTTTCATCATACAACTATACATACTGCTACTTTTACCTTATGTTACTACTAATACTACTAACACTACCACCACGACCCCTTCTCGTCCTCCCCCTTCTCCACCTCCTCCTACTACTATTATTACTATTATGAAGACGACTATTACTACTATTACTACCACTGCTACTACTACTTTTACCACCACTACTACTACCACCGCTACTACTAACACCACCACCACTTATATTACTACTGCTGCTACTTCTACTACTATCCACCACTTCTACTACCATTACTCCCACCACCACAACCACCATTACTACTACTACTACCACCACCACCACTACTACTACTACTATTACTACTACTACTGCTGCTGCTGCTGCTACCACTACCACTACTACTACTACTACTACTACTACTACTACTACTACTACTACTACTACTACTACTACTACTACTACTACTACCACCACTACTACTACTTAAAAAGTCTACAGATTGTACCACTGTTACTGACCTCTAATTCTATAACTACTAATATTGCTACTTTTCGGCGAATACTACCACTACTGCAGCTCTGCTGGTACTACTACAACTCTAGTGATACTACTACTGCCACTACTGCAGCTGCTGCTGTTATTAAAGTTGTTAATACCAACAGCACAATTATTATAACATTGCTTTTACTGCTTCTGTTACTACTACTGTCACATAGTACGGCTACTCTGTGACACAATTGTACTCTCGTTTGCATGTAATCTGACACAATCGTACTTTCGTTTGTATGTACTTTGGCACAATTGTACTTTCGTTTGTATGTAATTTGATAGATTTATTGTAAATGTTTTCATGCATACTTTAAAAAAACAAAAAAACTCACAGGAAGCCTGTCTAATCGCAACATGGCCTGCAGAAGTGTTGATCAACAAAATTCTACAAACTATAATGGCGCCGTCCCTGCCGATATGTATCTGGTAAACAGAAACACTCCCTACTACCCACCAGATCCTTGCATCAAACCTGACCAGGGCTACGCAATGTGCCAACCACAGCACCCGCCTTGTCCGCTGTTAGTATATGTTATTTGATGATGTTTTAAAAGTTATATAGGAATTATTTGTTACAGTTTTAAATTCAAAACCATGTTTTTCCGTTATACATTTAAATAATGTGGATACAAGCAAAACAATGAACAATTTATGACCTGGCATGTTTCGCTGTATCTCGTCAGGTGCATCACCAAGTTAATTACTTGCCCTTTACAAGACGTTGCAGAACCAGCCCCAGCATTGTTTGGCCGTTGTGGTTTTTCTAGGCAAATTTTACGTTTGATACCACTGTCGAAATAAACGCAAGACGTTCTGCTGCCAGAGCGCCCTCAGGTGGGATCTAACCCAGCACCCCGGTATTACGAAGCGCGATCGCAACGCCTAAGCTTTATAAAGCCTAAGTTAAATCAGCAGGGTGTATTTTTAATGAATTTTTTTTTAAAAGTAGCCTAACGGCGCTGCCAAGGCAAAATTTGGAGTTAAAAATCTACCCCCCCCCCCCCCAAAAGTATTTCATTATGATCGCCGGTGCAACGGAGTTCGTGCACTCAGCTGACATTTTCAGACTTAGGCTTGAGTTAGAAGAAAAACAGAGCACATATGGTTACACGCGTGTGCCGTGATGTTGTTCTCTTGAATAAGAATAAGAAAGAATGCTCAACTAGAATTACTCTATCTACAGTAGTTAACACTATTATTGCTGAGATCAGTTACTAACACAGGTATATAGCAGTGATATTCTAAACTAACGGTTCAATAGCGTTTGAAACATAACGCAATACACAAATATAATTACGGTGTGCAAAGAACTGATTTAAAAAGGCTACAGTCATTAAATTTACACCCGAAATAATAAAGCACAATATAATTTTTGATGGGAATATGCTCACCTACTTTGACAATGCGATTTATGTATTTCAGCGACAAGATTTCATTTGTTGTGCTTCATTATATGTTGATTTAACGTAGCAATAGTGCATCCTACGAGGTACCGCATCCCAGGCAATAAATTGTGCAGTGTATTGTTTGTGACCACATTATGTAATAATGTTTTACAATTTCATGTAAAATATTTGTTGATGTTTTAGTTATATGTCAAATATTTGTTGATGTTTTAAAGTTATGAATGCAATATTTGCTGATGTTTCGAAGTAATTTGTGAAATATATGTTGGCAAACAATACAGTAAAAAAAAAAAAAAAGAACTGTTAATTGTTATGTATACTCAGGTTTGTGTGTGTGTGTGTGTGTGTGTGTGTGTGTGTGTGTGTGTGTGTGTGTGTGTGTGCGTGCGTGTTGCCAGGTACCTAACGGTCACAGTATCTGCACCTCTAAAAAAAAACACACACACACACAATTTCAGAACCAGATACAAGTGGATACCATAGTGATGAAATAATCAGGAAAAAAATCATTAATGTTGTACTTTCAAAGTTGCTATATACATAGTTGTAGTAAATTATTGTGGAAGCCACATTTATTTAGTCTGTTGAGACCAAAGGGTAAAAGTAAGAATAGTGACCAGTGGGGGAAATCAGATTTTTTAAGTATGGCTGACCAAATGGCGAAAATAAGAGAGTCTTAAGCTATGGAGTAAAATCAAGGGCACTTAACGGGCGTTACTTTGGCACTGAAAGAGGTAAAATATTATTAGTTTTTCAGGAGTACTGTAATAGACACTAAATGGTAAGTATTGGCACTTTTTAGACACTTTGTAATGAGTACCGACACCTTTTTTTCCTCGAAAAAGGCAGGTGAAAACTCTGCCTTACTATGTGCACAAAAACCTGGAAAGTTAGCAATCAATTAGAAGGTCAATTTGAGGCTATGGAGATGTGAATTTGCAGTAGAATATATGTTGTGTTTCATTTTTAAAAAAGTCAAATACAGAGGTTTCGTTTTCTGGGAAATGAAAATAAGATTTCCTAAACAAATTAAAACAAAAAGACAAGGGATATGTAGCAGATAAAAGGAAAGTAAAAGACCTTATTTACTTCAGTGAGTATCGGACATTTCCTGCTGGACTCCTAGTTATGCAGACCGTTCGCCATTCGATTCGATGGGCCATTTTTTAAAAGAAATCCAGCTCTATGATGACTGAACCCGAGACCTTCGGGCCAACAGAAAGTTTCTAGCGCTACACTATCCTGGCTACCCAAGTGTTTTATATATATATAAATATATAAATATATAAATATGTATATGTATATATATATATATATATATATATATATATATATATATATATACATATATATATATATATATATATATATATATATAAATATATATAAACACACACACACACACACACACACACATATATATATATATATATATATATATATATATATATATATATATATATATATATATATATATATATATATATATATATATACACACACTTAATTTTAAAGAAAGAGTAGTAGTTTAGTAGTAATAGTAATTTAGTATTAGTAGTATTATTGATCGCAAAAGTAGTCACAATAGTAGTAGTAGTAGTAGTAGTAGTAGTAGTAGTAGTAGTAGTAGCAGCAGCAATAGCAGCAGCTGTAGCAGTAGTGGTGGTAGTGGTAGTAGCAGCACCATCAGCAGCGGCAGCAACAATAGTAGTAGTTGTATTGATTGTGGTGGTAGTAGTAGTTAGAGTCGCCGTCACAAAGAAATCTTTTTAGGGCTCAGTCACCCCCACCCCCCCTCCCCACAACACCACCCGCCCCTTTTCACTTACCCCCGCCGTACAAATTTCCTAGGTAAAAATATTGGGAGGGGGGTAGTTGGGGATAGGGGGGGGGGAGGGGGGTTGTTGCACGAGTGGCGCTTCTATTGATAAAGTTAATTAGTATTGCTATTGGCCGACTGCAGGCGGGAGAAAATCAAAATCAGGTTCCCAGGCATATAAACGTGCATGAGAGTACCAACTGTCGACTTTGGCACCGGTAGCAAGCCCCTTGTTTAGCTGATAACCGACATCGCAGTGGAGAACCCAGTGTCAACAGCAGCGGAACATCGCTTTATTCGGCTTTATCAACTCAGAGACAAGTTCACAGCAGCTTCCTCAACTGCGCAGGCATTGCCTCTAGAACATCATATGTCTGTTCAAACTGGTCGGAAGAGACTGCATGAAGTTGGAATTTGTGCATGACGACCACACCAAGGACTTGTCCTTACGCGTTGCCACGGCCAAAATCGACTTCTTTAAGCTAACCAACATCGTCCATGGGCTGGTGACAATCAATGGACACGTGACTTGTTCAGTGACGAATCTTTCTTTTTGTTGCAGAATCAAAATAGATGGCGTAAGGTCTACCGTAGGCAAAAAGGAGTTTTAGCCCAAAATTGTGTCGATGAAGCTCTGCTTCGTGGAGGTGGATGTGTAATGGTGTGGGGAATGATCAGTTACAACGGAAGGAGTCAATTGGTTGACACTGAAGGAAATCTGAATGTGCAACGATACGTCAAAAAAATTCTTCGACTACATGTCCTTCCATTTTGGGATGCTAACAGTTATCTTTTTCGACAGAACAACATCAGACCCCAATCTTGTCTGCAGACATGAGTCCGATTGAGCACCTGTGGGATGAGCTGCAAAGACGTGTTGTGGCCGAGACAATGCTCCAGCCAATGGTCGTGATCTGCTCCAGGAAGAGCGGACATCCATCCCACAGGCCTGCATCAGACATCTGATCGCATCCATGCCCAGGAGATGCTAGTCACTGATCCTCGCAAGAGGCGGCCACACACCATACACACGGAAAAGGCCGTACGCCTAAAAAATTTTCTTGACCCCCTCCCTTTTTTTTCTCCCCCCCCCCCCCCCCCCCCAAAAAAAAAAACAACAACAACAGAAAACGTGTTAATTGATTGTGCAGTTTGAGTAATTTCACTTATTACAAAGATGCAGAATGTCAAAATTGTGAGTTTGTATGTTCCTTTCAGTAGCTATGTTTCTTTTTTTTTTGTAGACAATATGTGTGTGTGTGTGTGTGTTTGTAAACAGAACCACCTCAAATACGTCATTATAGGCATACACACATCCACACACACAGTCTCACTGTAATGGATCATTTTTTTTGCCATCCCCAGGAACTATAAATGTATGCCTGCAGTTGGCTCGCAGGATAGATCCCTGGGGGAAATCTACCAGTTTGATAGAAGGTACCCATTTGCAGAATGCCAGTCTTGTGAGGAATACCATTCTCATCCGTGTGCAGCTTTAGGGCCTATAAGCAGCGAGGTGCCTTGTCCGTGCACACACAGGTATATTTTCAGGAACTGTTGTTAGGCACAACAATTGTTTCCCTCCATTCTTCGTTTACATTTACTTTAAAAATAATTGTTTGTGCAATTGAAAAAATCACTTAAACTACAAGGTCAAATAAACAAAGGCAGTAAAACAGAGTAGGGTTTTAGGTACGAAGAATGGGGAGGGTATAGGGGTGAACTGCACTCAAGGGCAATGAATAGTACGAGAGTTGGAGATTGCAACAGCATACTATTGGTTACAATTGATAGATATACTCTAGCGCCCCGTAACTACTAGGATCTAATATTCTACTTCCAATTTTCGTAACAGGCTGTCTTTCTGATACCATACAAAGCATACATGGAAAGAGAAGAAGGACGTAGAGCACGGGGTAGACCAAGAACAAGATGGAAGGATAACATCAGAGAAACTCTACAACAGCACGATGTGCCTATGGTCGAGGCGGCCAGAAGAGCTAGAAACAGAACCTTATATCTCTCTCGACACCCACAGCGGTAAAAGAGGAAGTTAAGAAGAAGAAGAAGAAGAAGAAGACGACATAGGTCCACGGGTCGCTCATTGGCTTGCTGGTAGACGACTTCGTCGCCAGTAGGGACAGTATTTGAGTCTGTCTCTTTTGATCACATCAACACTGCAGGAGTCCTTTTCAGGGCTTTTGGTGGCGTGCAATGCTTAGTATTTTTATTTGGCGCAAATAACCTAGCCACGATAATAATCTGATACTCCAGTAGTGTAGTAGCGTAATACGGGCCGCATTTCGATTAAGCCGCCTTCTTTATCCTTAGTAAAAGATGGCGGCCAAAAGTGATTGGTTCTTTCTGGCGGCTTTATATATCCTTAGTAAATATCGATCGGGTAAGCCGCCCTCTTTGTCCTTAGTAAATATCGATCGGGCGGCTGATGACAGCACAAGTGATTGGTTTTAGGGAAAGGTATAGGAAATCTTCATAACTGCAGGTGACAGGTGGCGTTATATAAAACAGGGGCAGGCAGGAACACTATTTAGGTGAGCAGCGGGGGGGGGGGGGGGCAGGGGACCCGGGGCGACTAATAGAGTTGGTGCGGGTTTATGTGGATGTCTGTATAGGTGATTGTATGAGGGGAGCCGTTTTTAGACTTGCGATAAAGAAAACCTAGGAAGGCGACGTGGTGCTGATGACAACACAAGTGATTGGTTTTAGGGAAAGGTATAGGAAATCTTCATAACTGCAGGTGACAGGTGGCGTTATATAAAACGGGGGCGGGCAGGAACACTATTTAGGTGAGCAGCGGGGGGCAGGGGACCCGGGGCGACTAATAGAGTTGGTGCGGGTTTATGTGGATGTCTGTATAGGTGATTGTATGAGGGGAGCCGTAGGTGACAGGTGGCGTTATATAAAACGGGGGGCAGGCAGGAACACTATTTAGGTGAGCAGCGGGGGCAGGGGACCGGGGCGACTAGGAAGGCGGCATGATGACCGGGGATGTATTAGAAAGGGAAGATTGGGCGCCGGCATCATCATCATCATCTATGTCATGGTAGCGAAGGTCGACCGCTCAACCTATACAAGAGAACAGACATATAAACATCGATATTTTGTCTCCATAGCAACTGGTTATTCATTGTCGGTATGTTGGGGTGTGGGTATTTTTAGGCGGATTGGTTTAAGGAAGACAAATATTTCTTTAGTGCAGGGCCAGCTGTTGGTTAAAAGTGGCGGATGATTCATTTCCCCATGGCGGCCAAATCTGCTTGGTCTCTCTGGGAGGCTGTTCTTTATCCTTAGTAAATATCGATCGGGAGGCTGATGACAGCACACTTGACGGGTTTCAGGGGAAAGACATATGGTGCATAAATCGATATGTTGTCTCCATAACAAATGGTTATTCATTGTCGGTATGTTGGGGTGTGGGTATTTTCTTCGGGGAAAGGCAAATATTTCTTTAGTGCAGGGCCAGATGTTAGTTAAAGTGGCGGATTACCGGGGATATATTAGAAAGGGCGACTCGAGCGCCATCATCATCATCTGTGTCATGGTATTGAAGGGATGGTTTGAGCTGTAGTAAAAAGGAGGACATACGACAGAAGGGTAGCTGTCTTGTCATAGTGTCGAGGGCAGAAGAGAAGGGGCTTACCTGACATCGGTGAGCAGCGCGGCGGGCGGGGCAAGGGACACGGGGCGACAGGGCGACTAAAACGGTTGGTGTTGGTTTATGGGTTCTGTAATAGACAAAAAAAAAAATTAGAAGTGGGTTGTTAGCGGGAGATATATATGTTATAAAACGAAACAAGTTACGGGATATGAAAATAGACATAGGCAGCAGTGACAGCCGACAGAGGGGGAGGGGGCGTTTTAGGGTTTAGGTAAAGAAACCTAGAAAGGTGGTTTGATGACCGGGGATATATACTAAAGGGCGACTTGAGCGCCATCATCATCATCATCATCATCTGTGTCATGGGAGCGAAGATCGACTGCTCAGGGATGGTTTGAGCTATAGTAAAAAGGAGAACGTACAATAGAAGGGTGGGCGGCTTGTCATAGTGTTAGATGTTGATAGTTTAAGTTTTAGTTAAAAAGGAAAACTTTAACAAAGAGGCGACCGTTGTGACATATTATTGGATATTGACCGCTCAAGGAGGGTATGAGTTAAAATAAAAACAATATGGTAATTTATAGCAAAAAGGCGACTTTTGTGACATATTGAGGAGGCCGACCGCTTATGAAGGGTTTGAGTTGAAGTAAAAAGGGGACGTTATGGCAAAACGGCGACTTTTGTGTCATAGCAGCGAATGCCAACCGATCATTGAGGTTTTGATTTTAGGTAAAGATGGGAATTTATGGCAAAATTGCAACTTTTATGTCAACAATAATAAGGAATGCCGGCCGCGCAGAAATAGTTTAAGCTGTAGCAAAAAGGAAAACATACGACATTTGGCGTGTGTCTTATCATAGTGTTAGATATTGATAGGTTAGGGAGGGTTTAGTTGCAGTAAAAACGAAAGCGTTAACAGAAGGGCGACTTTTGTAACATATTATGGGAGGCCGGCCACTCATCCGTAGTTTAAAGTGTAGTGGGAAAAATAGCAAAAGGACGACAGGTGTGGCAAAGTGTCGGGTTCTGGTCGTACATATATGGTTGAGCTGTAGTTTTTAAAAAAAAAAAAGGAGAACTGTTGTGTCATAGTGTTAGATATCACCGCTCATAAAGGGTTTACGTTGTAGGTCAGAGGCGGCGCTACCAGGCGACGAAGGTGGGCTGGGGCAATTTTAGGTGCGAAAAGGGCGCTATGTCTTTCTCGACAGACAGCGTAAACCACACACGAGCCGTTACATGTCTTTCACTGGTCTTTACAAGGCAATAACTGAAGACGCCAGATAACCCGATCACTATCCTTGGGGCAAAGGGGAGCTGGGGCAATTTTGGGTACCAAAAAGGCGCTATATCTTTCTCGACGGACAACGTAAAAGACGCACGAGACATCGCATGTCTTTCACGGGTCTTCACAAGGCGATAACAGAAGACGCCGGGTAACCCGATCACTATCCTTGGCGCACAAAAGTCACCCGATGTTTTTCTTCATAGGACACCGTAAGCCACGGAAGAGAAAGAGCATATCTTTCACTGGTCTTGACAATTCGTCACCTAAGGTTCCTATTAAGTAGCTAACTGTCCTTCTGACACAGCAAATCACTCGATGGTTTTCTCTACCGGACACCACAAAGCACGCAAGAGACAGAGCATGTCTTTCACTGGTATTGTCAAGTCAGTTGCCGACGGTTCTTAGTAAGTAGTGCACTGCCCCTGGGACCCAGCAACCACCCGATATTTTTCTTGACGAGACATCTTAGGTCACTTAAGTCTTCCTCGTTGCTTCCGGCGTTGTCAGCGTCCTCGTTGTCGTCTTCCTTGTTGACTTCGGCGGGTCGTCGTCTTCGGCGTCATCGTCGCCTCTAATGTCGTCTTCGTCGTCGACTGCATAACCCAAGGTTTTTACTAACTGTCCCGGCTGCCTCGGACACGATGCGACTTTAGGAAAACAGGAGACTCGTCGTCTTTGCAGTTGTCTTCCTCCTAATTTGCTCGTCTTCGGCGGTGTCGGCGCGTCGTAGGACAACGTTAGTCACTCGTTCACTAACCTCTCTTGGTAAGTCGTTAATTAACATTGGTACTATGCGAGTCGCTAAGATGTCTTTTCTGTTGGGGAAACACTTGATGTCTTGGTCCTTTGATACATCTTGAATCACACAAGATATGACACACATCTTTCACCAGCTGTCCCTGACGACTCGGACACACAGTGGCTTTCAGAAAACACAAGGCAGCTTTTTAGAAGCCAGAAGGCTACTTCAAGAACCCCAGAAGGCATCTTTTTACAAACCAGAAGGTGACTTTAGAAACCCAGAGGGATACTTTTTAGAAACCCGAGGGTGATGTGTAGAAAATAAGAGACAACGGTTAGAAACAAGACGGCACCTTTTACGAAATATAAGCTGACTTTGACGAAACATTAGGCAACTTTTTTATTCAACATAGGGCGCCTTTTAAGAAACACGAGACGACTTCACTTATAAAGCCAACATTTTCTTTTCCCGACTAGCGAAAGGTCGCATACTTAGGAACACATAAACCTTTCTTACTCCTATCACTGCTCTCGCTAAACAAGAAACAACACAACAACTTGTCGTCGCACTGTCGAAACAAACAAAATAACCTTTTGTCATTGAGCTGGGGAAACTTGGAAACTGTTCATAGAAGAAGAAGAAGAAGAAGAAGAAGAAGAAGAAGAAGAAGAAGAAGAAGAAGAAGAAGAAGAAATGAACAGTTTCCAAGTTTCCCCAGCTCAATGACAAAAGGTTATTTTGTTTGTTTCGACAGTGCGACGACAAGTTGTTGTGTTGTTTCTTGTTTAGCGAGAGCAGTGATAGGAGTAAGAAAGGTTTATGTGTTCCTAAGTATGCGACCTTTCGCTAGTCGGGAAAAGAAAATGTTGGCTTTATAAGTGAAGTCGTCTCGTGTTTCTTAAAAGGCGCCCTATGTTGAATAAAAAAGTTGCCTAATGTTTCGTCAAAGTCAGCTTATATTTCGTAAAAGGTGCCGTCTTGTTTCTAACCGTTGTCTCTTATTTTCTACACATCACCCTCGGGTTTCTAAAAAGTATCCCTCTGGGTTTCTAAAGTCACCTTCTGGTTTGTAAAAAGATGCCTTCTGGGGTTCTTGAAGTAGCCTTCTGGCTTCTAAAAAGCTGCCTTGTGTTTTCTGAAAGCCACTGTGTGTCCGAGTCGTCAGGGACAGCTGGTGAAAGATGTGTGTCATATCTTGTGTGATTCAAGATGTATCAAAGGACCAAGACATCAAGTGTTTCCCCAACAGAAAAGACATCTTAGCGACTCGCATAGTACCAATGTTAATTAACGACTTACCAAGAGAGGTTAGTGAACGAGTGACTAACGTTGTCCTACGACGCGCCGACACCGCCGAAGACGAGCAAATTAGGAGGAAGACAACTGCAAAGACGACGAGTCTCCTGTTTTCCTAAAGTCGCATCGTGTCCGAGGCAGCCGGGACAGTTAGTAAAAACCTTGGGTTATGCAGTCGACGACGAAGACGACATTAGAGGCGACGATGACGCCGAAGACGACGACCCGCCGAAGTCAACAAGGAAGACGACAACGAGGACGCTGACAACGCCGGAAGCAACGAGGAAGACTTAAGTGACCTAAGATGTCTCGTCAAGAAAAATATCGGGTGGTTGCTGGGTCCCAGGGGCAGTGCACTACTTACTAAGAACCGTCGGCAACTGACTTGACAATACCAGTGAAAGACATGCTCTGTCTCTTGCGTGCTTTGTGGTGTCCGGTAGAGAAAACCATCGAGTGATTTGCTGTGTCAGAAGGACAGTTAGCTACTTAATAGGAACCTTAGGTGACGAATTGTCAAGACCAGTGAAAGATATGCTCTTTCTCTTCCGTGGCTTACGGTGTCCTATGAAGAAAAACATCGGGTGACTTTTGTGCGCCAAGGATAGTGATCGGGTTACCCGGCGTCTTCTGTTATCGCCTTGTGAAGACCCGTGAAAGACATGCGATGTCTCGTGCGTCTTTTACGTTGTCCGTCGAGAAAGATATAGCGCCTTTTTGGTACCCAAAATTGCCCCAGCTCCCCTTTGCCCCAAGGATAGTGATCGGGTTATCTGGCGTCTTCAGTTATTGCCTTGTAAAGACCAGTGAAAGACATGTAACGGCTCGTGTGTGGTTTACGCTGTCTGTCGAGAAAGACATAGCGCCCTTTTCGCACCTAAAATTGCCCCAGCCCACCTTCGTCGCCTGGTAGCGCCGCCTCTGACCTACAACGTAAACCCTTTATGAGCGGTGATATCTAACACTATGACACAACAGTTCTCCTTTTTTTTTTAAACTACAGCTCAACCATATATGTACGACCAGAACCCGACACTTTGCCACACCTGTCGTCCTTTTGCTATTTTTCCCACTACACTTTAAACTACGGATGAGTGGCCGGCCTCCCATAATATGTTACAAAAGTCGCCCTTCTGTTAACGCTTTCGTTTTTACTGCAACTAAACCCTCCCTAACCTATCAATATCTAACACTATGATAAGACACACGCCAAATGTCGTATGTTTTTCCTTTTTGCTACAGCTTAAACTATTTCTGCGCGGCCGGCATTCCTTATTATTGTTGACATAAAAGTTGCAATTTTGCCATAAATTCCCATCTTTACCTAAAATCAAAACCTCAATGATCGGTTGGCATTCGCTGCTATGACACAAAAGTCGCCGTTTTGCCATAACGTCCCCTTTTTACTTCAACTCAAACCCTTCATAAGCGGTCGGCCTCCTCAATATGTCACAAAAGTCGCCTTTTTGCTATAAATTACCATATTGTTTTTATTTTAACTCATACCCTCCTTGAGCGGTCAATATCCAATAATATGTCACAACGGTCGCCTCTTTGTTAAAGTTTTCCTTTTTAACTAAAACTTAAACTATCAACATCTAACACTATGACAAGCCGCCCACCCTTCTATTGTACGTTCTCCTTTTTACTATAGCTCAAACCATCCCTGAGCAGTCGATCTTCGCTCCCATGACACAGATGATGATGATGATGATGATGGCGCTCAAGTCGCCCTTTAGTATATATCCCCGGTCATCAAACCACCTTTCTAGGTTTCTTTACCTAAACCCTAAAACGCCCCCTCCCCCTCTGCCGGCTGTCACTGCTGCCTATGTCTATTTTCATATCCCGTAACTTGTTTCGTTTTATAACATATATATCTCCCGCTAACAACCCACTTCTAATTTTTTTTTTTGTCTATTACAGAACCCATAAACCAACACCAACCGTTTTAGTCGCCCTGTCGCCCCGTGTCCCTTGCCCCGCCCGCCGCGCTGCTCACCGATGTCAGGTAAGCCCCTTCTCTTCTGCCCTCGACACTATGACAAGACAGCTACCCTTCTGTCGTATGTCCTCCTTTTTACTACAGCTCAAACCATCCCTTCAATACCATGACACAGATGATGATGATGGCGCTCGAGTCGCCCTTTCTAATATATCCCCGGTAATCCGCCACTTTAACTAACATCTGGCCCTGCACTAAAGAAATATTTGCCTTCCCGAAGAAAATACCCACACCCCAACATACCGACAATGAATAACCATTTGTTATGGAGACAACATATCGATTTATGCACCATATGTCTTTCCCCTGAAACCCGTCAAGTGTGCTGTCATCAGCCTCCCGATCGATATTTACTAAGGATAAAGAACAGCCTCCCAGAGAGACCAAGCAGATTTGGCCGCCATGGGGAAATGAATCATCCGCCACTTTTAACCAACAGCTGGCCCTGCACTAAAGAAATATTTGTCTTCCTTAAACCAATCCGCCTAAAAATACCCACACCCCAACATACCGACAATGAATAACCAGTTGCTATGGAGACAAAATATCGATGTTTATATGTCTGTTCTCTTGTATAGGTTGAGCGGTCGACCTTCGCTACCATGACATAGATGATGATGATGATGATGCCGGCGCCCAATCTGCCCTTTCTAATACATCCCCGGTCATCATGCCGCCTTCCTAGTCGCCCCGGGTCCCCTGCCCCCGCTGCTCACCTAAATAGTGTTCCTGCCTGCCCCCCCCGTTTTATATAACGCCACCTGTCACCTACGGCTCCCCTCATACAATCACCTATACAGACATCCACATAAACCCGCACCAACTCTATTAGTCGCCCCGGGTCCCCTGCCCCCCGCTGCTCACCTAAATAGTGTTCCTGCCCGCCCCCGTTTTATATAACGCCACCTGTCACCTGCAGTTATGAAGATTTCCTATACCTTTCCCTAAAACCAATCACTTGTGTTGTCATCAGCACCACGTCGCCTTCCTAGGTTTTCTTTATCGCAAGTCTAAAAACGGCTCCCCTCATACAATCACCTATACAGACATCCACATAAACCCGCACCAACTCTATTAGTCGCCCCGGGTCCCTGCCCCCCCCCCCCCCCCCGCTGCTCACCTAAATAGTGTTCCTGCCTGCCCCCGTTTTATATAACGCCACCTGTCACCTGCAGTTATGAAGATTTCCTATACCTTTCCCTAAAACCAATCACTTGTGCTGTCATCAGCCGCCCGATCGATATTTACTAAGGACAAAGAGGGCGGCTTACCCGATCGATATTTACTAAGGATATATAAAGCCGCCAGAAAGAACCAATCACTTTTGGCCGCCATCTTTTACTAAGGATAAAGAAGGCGGCTTAATCGAAATGCGGCCCGTATTACGCTACTACACTACTTACTCCACCTTCAGTGTTGCTGGTTGAACGTGAAGATTCGTTTTTAGCAAAGCACCGGATCGGAATAATAATAATAATAATAATAATAATAATAATAATAATAATAATAATAATAATAATAATAATAAAAATAATAATAATAATAATAATAATAATAATAATAATAATAATAATAAGAAGAAGAAGAAGAAGAAGAAGAAGAAGAAGAAGAAGAAGAAGAAGAAGAAGAAGAAGAAGAAGAAGAAGAAGAAGAAGAAGAAGAAGAAGAAGAAGAAGAAGAAGAAGAAGAAGAAGAAGAAGAAGAAGAAGAAGAAGAAGAAGAAGAAGAAGAAGAAGAAGAAGAAGAAGAAGAAGAAGCAGGATGAGGAGTATGGAAAGGAGCTCAAGGTGAAGGGGAGGCTATTTTGGGGCACCCACTAGCTACATCAAGTATTGCCTTAAAATGCAACACACTGCTCCGTGCAGGTAAGGTCTACTCGTGTTGTACCTTCTGTGTTTCATTCCTAATTCAACGACACTGTTTCTGCTGCCAGGTGCCCCGTGTTTCTGCGACCAAAGCCGTACGATCTGAACCTCATGTACCCCAAGTGTGTAGACAGACCGCCGGCACCTCATTTCGAGACTCCGATATACGGCGAACCCACGCCGTATATCAGATGGTCCTCAACACATCCGCAATCGTGGGCAACAAAACAGCAGTGCCGGGTTCCATTCTCCAAACACTTGAAGTGCCAGTGTCCTAACAGTGCTCCCAGTATTGGACCTAATCTTGTCATGTTCCTTCATTGTTCTGACTACTAGAAGCGAGCGTTCTGCACACACGGGTCACTATTGTATATTTTCTAGCGTTATAGCCAACTACTGTTTTTACTTTCCCCCCTCCAGATTTGCATTCTGTAGGATTACCACCTGAATGATGAGTTTGCTCCCTACCAACCATGTCGTAAAAGACAACTTATTATGCGTTTTTGCTTCAAAGTCGGGGTGCATCTGCACGAGGGGCAAGGAACTAATAATCTGCATACAAATAAGCAGATCATTAAAGCTGATGTGCACGCAAAATTCAAGATCCGGAACAAGACTAAAGTCCAGAAGTAAAAGAATAATCAAGAACCATAACTTTTAGCCACTTAACCACCGGTGAACACTAAGAGGAAAAAGAAGAAGACGAAGAAGAAGAAGAAGAAGAAGGTCTGCCATTGATGGAACATTTTGTTTTCCTCCTCAGTTCCTTATTTATGATCTTGTTTGGCCAGAATGTCCATATGATTCTCCCGAGACATTCATTTTGAAAAGTCTTTATGAAAGAGAAGAACTGCAAGGATGCGGGGGGGGGGGGGGGGAAAGGGGGAAAAAGGGGTGGGGGTACTCATCATCTGTTAATCTGCAATATTTAGCGGCACAAAGAAGATATTTGACAAATGAAAGAAGATGTAGATATTTAAGATATCCTTGAATATGTTATGATGAGAATAAATATGCAAGCTCAGGGACAACATTAAAACTTGATAGGGACAAATAGCAGCACGAAGACCAAGAAATAAATACCTGAGCCGTGTGACCACATTACACAAACGAGATAAGAACACAGACCTGTTTATTAAATTCAGGAAATCATGTAAGCTTGCGAGCTCTTCTTCTTCATCGTCGCCTCCCTCTCTTTCTATTTCCAAATCAGTGGAACATATGCTTTCAAGCAGCTTACGCAAAACTCTTCCCCCTTTTATGTTTTCACAGTCAACGTCACTGCACTTTGGGCATTCCCATTCATGCTCACTCCTACAGTGCAGTAGCTATGCTGGTGTACCTCTTCTGATTGTTCCCACGAGGAGCTGGTGAAACGGATGTACACGCAACACTCAGTTTCAGGAACAGGACTAGAGTCCAGAAGTGGACGAACAACCGAGCTTTCCGCTGGAGTTTACAGCCGGCGAACTCGAAGAAGAAGAAGACGACTTTGAAGACGGCATAGACGTGTTTCACCAGGCTTTACTCCAGTGTAACGTCATCGTGCCATTCGTCACCACACGCCAGCCTAGGCAGCGTTAATGATGTCACTAAGTCCGTGCTTCCTCCCAGCATGCCGTGGTCGGGGACGGATTAACCACGGCCTCGTAGTTGGCACTGAAAGTTTTTGAGCAGTGTCGAACCGAAATTAAAGCTGCATCACTCTGGTGATCCCCCCCACCCCCCCCCCCCCCCCCCCCCCCCCCCCCCCCGTGTTTCCTGGCTTGTCTTTTCTAAATTGCTGCTGCAGTTCTAGCAGCTACGTGGGCCACAGCTCCTCGATGAAGAGAAAAGCGCCAGGATGAGCGGTCACACGCAGCGACTTCCCAGATTTTTTGGATCAATACAGAAGTCTTTCAGAGAGGCCTTGAGGCTGTCCTTGACAAATTTCTTTTGTCCACCTTGAGCGTGTTTTCTTTTCAGTAGCTCACCGTTAAAAAAAAATTCTTTTTTAGCAGTCGGTGGTCAGGCATGCGGAGTATATTACCTGCCCAACGAATTTATGAAAGTTTTGGAATCGAGTAAATACTGGACAGTCCAACTCTGTCAAGGACTTCAGTGTCAGGGATCCTGTCTTGTCATTTTATGTTCAGCAACTTTCTGTGACATACTGTGTGGAAATGGTCCAGCTTCTTAGCATGGCACTGGTAAATGTTCCATGTTTCACATGCATAGAGAAGTACCTCTTTGTACACTTTGAGCTTCGTAGCAAGATTATGCCAGCCCTATTCTAGACTTCTGCACGAAGTCTGCCAAATGCGTCTACCAGCACACTAAGCACGTGCTCAAGGCATCACGAAGAGAATGAGACACACATACATTTTTAATAACCTCGTAGCTAAACGTTTATTTTCTCAGTTGAAGTATATTAAAAAATCCCATCAGAAACCAACAGTGCAATAATGCAGACCGGATGTCTTGTTTCCGTTATGTATAGATGCAAATGTGGTACATACGATTAGTTTTGAAAGGCTGTTAAAATGCTTGGCAATAAAAAAAAAAATGAAAAAAAAACCCAAACCCATTCAAATATAAATAAAGTGGAAGTATACACAACTAGACATTACTTTTCATCTTACTGTGAGTTTTTATTTAATTTTGATAAATACAACTATATTAAATGGTTTATTATTGCTTATATTTTGAATTAAAAATATATTAATTAGCCCACGATGCACTTGGCTAGAGGTGCTACGAGCACACGGGTCCAATGCTGTGTGTATCCCAAGTGACCATTTATTTCCCTCTGAATGACGTTCAGCCCCACCAGGACCGCACAACGAGCGATAAAAGCCCGGTAACACAAAGTGCCACCATTCGGATGAGAATCAGCCGAACGCAAGTCCCAGACACCCCATAGGTTATATTTAAGGCCCCTGACGACAGCCGGGGTGAGGCTTTAAATTATAAAATTGCGTCCCACACTGTGACGGGGATACGAATCTATCTCCCCCTGCTGTTGGGCATACCCACTGACTGGATGATGACAAATGTGTTGAAAACACCGGCATTGACTGGGTGGAGAACATACAGTTGGAAGATCTAGATTTTGCTGATGATATTGTGCTGCTAAGTACAAACAACAATGACATGCACAGGAAAAAACAACAGATAACTTACCAAATACAGCATCAAGGGTTACAGGGCCGTGCACAGGGCCGTGCGCAGAGCCGTGCACAGGGCCGTGCACAGGGTCATGAGGCAGATTTTCTCAGCATGATGCATGTCTTTTTTTTTTTATTTTTTAACCTATCCAGAAACCATGAGTTGTAAACCCTTTGGCTCGGTACTATGGATATCGCAACCCTTCGGCATTGATTCCATTATAGGTACCGTTAATCTGGGAGAAATGTGGCTTTTCTGCCTACCCCCGGGAGTGAACCCGGACCACAAGGAGTTTGTCACCCGGCCGCCGCGAACGTCAGGTTTAACCAACTTCGCTAGAGAGCCGGGCGATGCATGTCTTCGAAATGCTGCTCTATAAATGTTCAAATTATATTTTATTTCGTTGCATATGCCGCCACCTTACGGTGCCACCTGATGCGACAAACGGGAATTTAAATGACAGATCAATTCACTTATAAGGTCATCATCATCATCATCATCATCATCATCAGGTGCCTTGCCGACTGGCGTGGGCGATCATGCCTCTCCATAATCCGCGATCTCCTGCAGCATGTATCATTTCGTGTGCCGATACACCTCTAGCCATGCAACAAGACTGTCAAGCATCTTCTCTCGTTGTCTTCCTCTATCCCTGCTTCCACATATCTTTCCAGTGGTCACAACATGTTCTATTTTCTCTCTTCTCATAACATGGCCGAAAAATGTTGACTGTCTCCTTCTGATGTCTGTGGTAAGTTGTCTTTGGGCTCCCACCTCTTTCAAAACCTCTTGGTTGCTCTTTTTGGCTGTCCAGGGTATTCTAAGCATTATTCTGTAAAACCATATCTCTGAGGTCTCAAGAAATTGTTTGGCCTGCCTACCGATTGTCCAAGATTCACAGCCATATGTTAAAACTGGATTTATGTAGCAAGCAAGAATTCTTTTTCTAACTCTCAATGACAAGGATATATTGCACAGGATGTTTTTCATTTTAAAAAATGCAGTTTTTGCCTGTCCAATTCTTTTTCTTATATCAGTTATGCATCTTCCATCTGATGTTATCCACGTGCCCAGATTCTTAAATTTCTGTACTTGTCCTAAAATAACACCATTGACTTTTATTACAGATTTAGGAATAATTTGTTTCTTTGATACCACCATTACTTCTGTCTTCCCATTATTCAAACTGAGTCCCATTCTTCCACTTTCTAACACCACAATGTCTATCATTTCCTGTAATTCTTTCTGACTTGTTGCTGTCAACACTATGTCATCAGCATAACGTAAATTGTTTATATTGTGCCCACCAACCACAATTCCGGGCATATCAATAAACTTATTAGGTAGACATTTTGAAAGTGAAGAAAATATTTAAAAAAAAAAAGAAGAAATTATGATATACAATGCCAAAGCGTCTGCATCTCGTAAAAGCCTAAACAAAACATGAAGCTCCTATTGATTTGTGCATTGTGAAGAGAAACCAGAGTTGTAAAGCGCCTGACTGACTGACTGACTTTCAACCCCACCAGGACATCACACAAGCGATAAACACCCGATGACACAATGTGCCACCATGTGGATGAGGATCGCCGTGGAGAGGTACCAGAAACCGCGTTCAGACAAATGGCCATATTTATGGCCTGCCTATATTGCGGCCCCTGACAAAAGCCAGGGTTGGGCTTCATATAACAAAAAATTATGTACTGAATGCGTCGTTGTAAAGCTCCAAATTGTATAGCTTTAAAATCAAGTTACGTATTTTCATTTCTAATGATATTTTAATTTTAGCATATGTCAGTGACAGGCGGAGAACCACTATAGACATGGAATGAAAGATATTCAATTAATGTGTGAATCATTAATGCATTCGAGGACAGATGCATTCGAGGACAGATGCATTCGAGGACAAACGCATGAAGTTTGAAGTTTGAACAACGGATCAACATCATGGCACACGGGTAGTAACCCATAAGTGATCTCTTCTTTCTTCTAACTCAAGTCTGAGTCCGAAGAAGCTCAGCGCAGTGCACAGGCTCTGTAGCACCGGCGAGGATCCTGAAATACTTTCGGTAGATTTTCAACTCCAAATTTTTCCCGAGCAGCGCCGTTAAGCTACTTTTTTCGATTTCCAACCGCCAGGTGATTTTTTTACGTGCGCAACAATTCACACTGGCGTCCGATCTCACTCCCCAGAGACCAGGGAAAATACTAGAAGTCCAAGTCCACGTGAAAAAAATCCCAGCCTTTACCGGGGATTGAACCCAGAACCTCTAGCACTCGAGGCGCACACCATGCCTCAAGACCACGCAGCCCCACGCCTGAGAAAAATGGTGAAAATAAAATGGGATGAATTTAAAATAAGAGAAATACACTCGCAACCACTAATGTTAAGACAGAGAAGATGGCGCTAAAATTTTTGGGTACATTCTGAGGAGACACGAGCGGAATATCTCCAAACAGGCATTGCAATGGGAAACAACGGGATTGGGGGAGGCGAGGACGCCGAAAAAGAAACCCTAAAATGAACGTTGATAAGAGAGGCCAAAAGTGCTGGACTTGATCCCATCCATGATATTGAATTAACTGCACAGGATAGAGCGGACATCATAGAGTGGAAGTAGTCTGAGTGTGATAGTCTAGTTCAAGGGTGACCTTCTGAAAACTCTGTGACTGGTGTAGCAAACCGACAGTGGTTTATGTAGTGCTCGTAGCAAATGAAAAGAAATCAAATGGTTTGGCCATGTAACGAGATTGGCATCAGACAGGGCACCACCGAGAGCAATGTTACACAGGTGACAGACCCAAAGGTCGACCACGCAGAATATGGACAGCAGAAATATCAGACACTGAAAAGTACTTAATGCGAAGCGAACAAAAAGGCTTTTCCCAGAAATGTCTTCCTACCCAGACGCTGCGAGGCATTCCAAGAGTGGAGAAAAGAAGAAGAAAGAAGAAGAAGAGGGGAATGAAGGGTTGAAGCGGAATAGAGGGTGATGCGAACCCTATGTGACACATAATGGCATATTAGGGCAACGATGACGACGAAGTGACCATTTACATTTTATTTCTGTGAGTGGTTGTCGTAGGGGCCCCAGTACACTGGTTTGTCCAGGGGTCCATAATGCTGTTAAAACGACTCTATGTGCGTGATGGGGCGGTTCACCAAAATCTTTTAAAAGCTTAACCCCCCAAAGAGTCCTAATCTGGCCCTGTACATGGTGTATTTCTTTGCCTACGTCTCACTTTTGTACCACCTCTTGTAGCTCCTTCTCCATATACGCCCATATTATTTATCTCCGTTTCTATTTCTCTTTTTAATGTTTAAGGCCTCTTTCTTAGTCCTTTGCCCTGCCGGTTCCAGAGAAATGACTGTCTATCCTATTTTGAGGCCAGTATGCAGTCCATCATCTATAGATTTTCTGAAGCCTGTACCAAGTTCGGGCTAACTATCAATACTGATAAAACTGTTATCTATCAACCGACTCTCAGACGAAATTGCTGAGATCCCACTATCACCGTAAATGATCAACAGCTAAACGTAGTCGGCAGATTCACTTATCTTGGCAGTACCATATCTCAGAAAGTCAACCTCGACGACGAGATCACTGTAAGAATCTCAAAGGCCAGTAGCAGTTTCTGCAAATTTTATACCAGTGACTGGAACAGAAGTGGTATCTCTCTGCAGACGAAACTGAAGGTCTACAAAGCTGTAATTCTTCGTATACTGCTCTCATTCATTCATTCAGTAGCATGTCCCTCGCTGAACCTCGCTGCCATAACAACCCTCCGGAAAACCTTCCTATCCTGAGCAAGATGTCCTGCGTCTGATACACCCATCTGGAGATCATCTGCCACATCCTGCACCCATCTTCTCCTTGGCCTTCCTCTTCCTCTCTTCCCAGGCATATACCCCTCCATTATTGTTCTCTCTAGACTTCCGTGACGTTTCAAGTGACCAAAATATTTCAATTTTCTTTGTTTTATTGTCTTTACTAGCCAACCCTCTTCAATATTCAGCTCTTGAAGTATGGATGCATTTGTTCTTTTCTTTACCCAAGATATTCTTTGAACCTGTCTGTAACATTTATATTCAAATGCATTTATGCGCTGTTCCGCTTGTTTAGTAAGTGTCCAGGTCTCACAGGCGTATGTTGCAATGGGAAAGATGCATGCTCTTAAAAATCTGACCTTTGTAGTTCTATCTGTACAATTCCATAATTTATTCAGTTGTTTTAGTCTTTGAAGAGCAATTGATAGTCGCCGTTTAATTTCTTTCATTGTGTCACCATTGTTGGTAACCAGTGACCCCAGATATTCGAAATTTTCCACCACTTCCAATCTTTCCTCATTAACATATATTTCCTTCTCCATGGCAGTTTTGTTTGTATGCATTATCTTTGTTTTTGCTATGTTAAGAAATAAGTTATGATTTTCACTATTTCTTTGGGTATACTGCTCTACGCTTGCGAAATGTGGACTTTATCAGCGCCATGTAAAAAAGTTGAATCAGTTTCACATAACCTGTCTCAGAAAGCTGCTCAAAATCAAATGGCAAGATAACATCCCGAATACTGTGGTTCTTGATAGGACAAACATGCCTGTCATCCACACGATACTGAAGAATTATCAGATCAGTTGGGCTGATCACCTAGCTTGCATGCCAGACTATCACCTCCCAGAGAGAGAGAGAGAGAGAGAGAGTATTTTATGGCGAGCTCCAACAAGGGAAGAGGTCCCAGGGATGACAGAAAAAGCGATATAAAAACACTCTCAAGGCTGCTCTTAATTTGTTTGGCATCAATACAGCAACGTGTGAGGCTGCTGCACTAGACAGTTCTGGATCGCGTACATCCCTTAGGCATGGTGCATTAGCCTGCCAGGCAGCGAAGGTTGCGCAAGCAGAGAAACGGGGGCAGACTAGAAAGAACAATATTGCTAATCACACACTTACTGCGGCTTCCACCTGTTGTCCGCACTACTTAAAAACTTTCCAGGCTCATACTGGACTGATAAGCTACCTTCGTAATACTCATAATCAGTGATCACTACTTCTATGGATGAAAAGTGGTCTTCATCACTCGAATTGGACGAACAACACATATTTTCTCAATACGCTTTCTTCCCAACACCAGCACCACTTTCTCACTTATTGATTCCTTGAAATTTGTTTATTAAAAAAAACAAAACATGCATTGTATTGATCGGCTGAAAGAAGAAGAAAGATAAAAGGACACACAGACAACATAAAAAAGCAACGATTTCCGTGCCAGGAATCCAACCTGTTATCTTCAAAACAAGTGTAAGAACATGACCAACTAGGCACCCAGTTTTATTTATGTTTGTTTATGTTAAATTTGTTTAGTATCCCCCACAAGCTCCGAGTCAGTATTTAATTACTTGCACGTGTATTTCATTTACATTGTCTTGCATTTTGTACAGTCCAGGATTGCAGTCCACAAAATTAACACTTCTAGGACTTAAAGCCTACTTACATAAATCCCGGAATAACTGTAAAGTTACATTACGGCCCCCGACGGTCGTTAATTATCCCCGAAGTCCGAAGTTTAAAAAAAAAGTAAAGGTCCCTTTCCCACGATTTTAGGCATACAGGGCTAGACCTATATTTTTATAGAACAATCGGCACAAGATGGGTGATGTGGTCAGCATCACACCGGCCGCCTCTACTTCCCGGGACTGCACTGAAGTCCGGACTATATTTCACGCAAAAGCTTGTTATGATATATTATAAAGGACAGATAATGTGGTCCCTGCATCGTCTTTTGCAGAATAGCCTCTCCTTAGCTACCATTTAATACAGCAAACCCTTACAATACTGTATTCACAAAATACCACATTGTATTCACTCAGCTGCTGTTACAAAAACAATTTTATTTGAAAAATATTTTTATAGCATAAAAATGATTAATAACGAAGTTTACAAAGATAAATTGTCAATATATGAATATATTGTTATTTAAAGTAAATAGATTGTTTCATCAGCAGTAAGCGACAGACTTCCGGTCCGTGATAAAACTGAGACAATTCTCTGGTTTCAGGTGTTTGTGAGTCACAGAACACTAGCGGAATTCAATAACCGTCATCTTGGGCGAAAGGAGAAGACTCATTTCTTTTAGTATACCGTGCTAACTGTTATACATAGATTTGAAGAGCTGGGACATTAACAGCAAGACGAAATGTTTTCAGGAGGATCGTCAAATTTTAATCGTTACTTGGGTAAGGACCCTCCTTTTCCTGTGCTTCGTTTTTTGCATAGTCAAGCTAGTATAAGCTACACAAAGTCGTACTTGAACTTGTTGATGTTTATCATTACGGTGTGAATGTTACTGTAGTGACACTTAGTTCACTTTCACAGTTGAATTCAAAAACATATTCTGCTACCAAAGTGCTGTTTAATGTCACTGTTGAGATACAGTACAGGCCCTGGATAAAATATAAATAGAAGAAGTTAACTGAATAACAAAACCAAAACTAAAACCCACTTAGTTACAATTCGGATCAGATAATTTAAGTATTACTATTATAAGTAAAATGATTAAGTAAATTAATATACGGCAACTGTAATATTCAGTGTGTCCTCCCATGTATTGAACACAGGATACAGTGAGAAAGACACAAAACAGAGCTAAATATAATCTTATAACATACAGCTATTTGGTGGGTGGGGCTTTGGTCTTCTTTATTTCAGACTTCATCTTGATCACTTGATGCCAGCAGCATGTTTATCCATAATGATACCAGCAATGTTAAAATACATTTGATATATTTTGAGTTACCTGTCCTATGTTTTGGTAATCCTTAACTCTTTCAGGCCCATGAATTTTGACAGACTTGGCCCACATTAATTTCCCTTTACAAAAATGGCAGAGGGGGTGGTGTACAAAAAAGGCAGTAGAGAATGTATGTAATATACTTCTCATCCCAACAAAAGAATATATTTGTGAAAAAAAGAGAAATGAATGTACATTTTGAATCTGATGATAAGTATATGTTTAATACTGATATAGTTAGTAGGCGAGAAGAATTAAGCAGGTGTTAATTTCACAACAAAATTTTACAAACAATTCTTTACTTACAGTGGTTTCGCAGCCACAAGAGCAGTTGAATATCCAAATTTGAGAATAACACTTTCAAGTTTGTTCAATTTCCTAACAAATTCCAAACTAATGATAAGTTTATGGGTTAGTTTAGCACTCACTGGCTCTAAATTGCAACAGAGTACTTAACAAAATTTCAAAGAAAAAAAGGCAAAAAAAAAATGGACCATTGCACACACAATATTTACTTTGTACAGTTATATATTAACAGTAGCTGCAAGGATCTAAATGTGGCTTAGCCATAGTATGGTAGTATCTGTTTGTTTGGAGCACTTTTCTTCTGTTACACCCTAAATACAGTAGCAATCAGGCATTGTCTATGTCAGACTGATCAGAATTGCTAGATCCCCTTACAGCTGTTGCTGGCGTAAATTCATCGTTCGAATGACTTTCCGAAAAATCAAAATTTCTATTATTATAATCAGAATTAAAAACATCCGACTGAAACAGTTTCAAAGCTTTCGTCGCAGAAAGACACATTTTGAGACCTGTATTTGTTGTTATCACTTTATCACAATCCCTTCCACTTCTGGAGATTGCACCCGGACCACTTTCTCATCATCTCTTTTTTTTTTTGCATACACTCTCACACATGGGGACTGGTGCAATGCAGTTTAACTTCATCATGTGCAGTGCCCATGTATTTAGGTTGTCATGTTTCACCATCTCACACAATCACCATAATCATGGACAGGTAGGTTGTTCTCCCCCCCACTATGGCCAGGCAGCGAGATAATTATCTATTGCCTTCCCCTTGCTCATGTTCTATCAGTCTAGCCAGTCGTCACCAAGTTCTTGAGTGTATTCCTTCTCATTACATTCCTGAAAAACCAAGACCACCAACGTTTAATTTCTAATAATGGAGTGTTGAAATTCTACTTGTATGGTCAGTGGAACCATGTAAGTCATACAATGTTCCTTTTCATACCTTACATTTCAAGCATCATATTAATATATACCTTATTTTTGTTGTTGTCTGGTCTGTGTTAAAAACAGTGATTGACACTTTACTTCTGCCGGTTGCGACTCTTTTTTTGGGTCAAATGACCCTCTTACATAGGGTCAGCTTAGACCATCAGTAAACACATTTTCATTGCAGTTATGGCGAAAGAAAATTGTTTGGTCGAATGACCCTTTCACATGGGGTCTGGTCAGCTTAGACCATCAGAAAACACATAGTCGTTGCAGTTATGAAGGAAAATAATTGTCTGGTGGTCGCCACAACATGAGGGAACTGTATTAAAGGGTCGCAGCATTACTAAGGTTGGGAGCCACTGCTTTATTTGACTGTGATAGTGAGAAGAAAAGATGGCAGTATAGAAATCTTGTGGAATGTACACAAAACAAATATACAAAACAGAAAGCTAGTATTTAATAAATCTCTTGTCTGTGTGTTTTCAGAGAAAGCTACAAGCCAGTTGCTGTTGGAGCCAGACTGGGATTCAGTGTTGCAGATTGTTGACTGCATTCGCCAGGGAGATGTTCAGTAAGTTGGGCACCATGAATATACACTTGAAGGCTGAGAAGTCAGTATTTGAGGCTGATATTTCCACATGACCTGACAGGTCAGGAAGTGACAGGACATTCCAACCAGCAATCCTCATGGCAAAAAGTGGCCTTCAGCAAGTTGCAAAAGATGCTCACCAATAAAAAGATGTTAACTGCAGTGAGGGGAAAAAGTGTTAAAGTGCTAAGTAGAACCTGTGTTGTCACATGGACGTTAGACATGGACAGTAAGCAGACCAGCTGGAAAAGATTGACTCACGACAGAGAGTATGCTATCGGTGCCAAACATGGACACTTACATCCTCCAGTGAACGTAAAATTTTGACAGCAGAGATGAAATGCCTTTGAAGAGCTGCAGGAGTTTCAAGGAAAGACAGAATACAAAATCACGACATAAGACAAATGCTAGGAATAAAGCCAGTCTTACAAGTCATCAAAGAACAACAACTGAAGTGGTTTAGACACCTAACAAGAATGACCTGGTACCATCTGCCACAGCGAGCCAAACTAAAATGTTGCAACGGGTGTAGAGCGAGTGGAAGACCTCGGAAAATATGGAGTGATGGCATTAGGAACAGCCTTACAGAAATGAACATCAGTCTTAATAGTGCTCTTGACAGCTCATCAACGAATGTTACATCTCCCCCCGACACTTCACTGAGGTACAAAGTTAAAGAGAAGAAGAAGAAGAGATGTGGTTTTTGAGAATATGCAAAGATTATCATGCAGTCATAGAAAATCAGACAAACAGTCCTCATAGAGACAGATGAATATCCTAAAGTTATTTAAACAATTAGGTATAGACAGTCAATGGTTTTTTTTTTTTCGACAGGAGGAGGAATGGACTTGAGAACTAATGACTGGCAAGATTGAAGGAAATAGAGAAAGAGGAAGGCAGAGAGATAGGCTTGGTCATCCAGGTGTCTAGGGTGGGATAAGCCAAGAACATTGACCTGATCTGCGATACCGATAATCACATGAGATGGCAAAAAAAAAAAAAATGGCAGCATATGCTTACCGGTACGGCACATGATGATGATTATGGCTCTGTGGCTGATCCAGCCTCACAAAAATGCATGCAGTATAAGTTCTAGAATGAGAGGTGTCTCAGAAGGATGGGCAATGAGGCAGGGAACCGGCCGGCCCTCCAACATCATTTACCTTGACCTAGAATGTGTGGTCTAACAGCTCACTGCATAACAACAGTATCTACAATAAGACTATAATTTTCTATCTTTGCTGTTAAGATATTGTAAACCTTCACTATTTTTCTATTGTTTCATTAGAAAAAAAAATTATTTGCCATCTCCATAATGAATGTTGAATACAATGCACGGCTGCTGCTTTTGGGAATATTACGGGTGATGCTCCAGTCTTTTCCATGGTGAAGCTCTCATACTTTGCAATGAAAACCATGAGAAAGTTGTAAAAAAAAAAAACATAGCTATAATATTGCCCTAGTACTCAGTGATCATGAAACTGAAAAACATTCATTAATGCCTTAGCCACAGACCCATATTGTCAGTATGTGAGTATGGTTTCGTACAAGGTCCTTAATGTGGAACTCTGATACACTTCAAGTGTAGAAAATGGAACTTGTCATTACCATAGAACGGAGCTGTTGAATTAAGTTTACTCAGGGGCTAAAATGTTGAAAATGAGGATCATCACAGGCGAGAGACCCGAGATTCCAGCATGCAAAGATCATTAAATACAATCAAACTGGCTATGATCCCCGGACTGAGAAGAAAAATAAGAAAATATAGAAAATTTTGTCAAATCTTTGAAACTTTTGTGATGATTTGTGGTGTTTGCAGACACAGAACTGCACTGGCTAATTTAACTTCATTGTATCCAATCCTGTTACATTATTGATAATTTTCCAATGAATTGCCTTCTTTTTAGACCCAAAGCTGCACTGTTTGCCATAAAAAAGAAAATTGGTCATGAAAATCCCCATGTGGCCATGTTTGCACTTCAGGTAAGGGAAAGACATATTTTACTGCTAGCAGTTATATAAGAGCATTGAATGAATGAATTAATGGCATTTGGGAGATTCTTGCATTTGCTCTATCTCTTGCGTCAGTAACCAACCAAGCCTTCTCACACTCTTTGAGCCAATTGTGACCTGATTAAAAGTATGGCTGCCTTTTCTCCTGCACATTTAGAATAATCCAGACCTCTCCTCACTCCATGCTGAATCAGGGAAAGATATAAAACCGAACGAAAAGTATATCAGCGAGCTTCACAATATAACAAACACAAACAAAACATGAACGTTGCAGCTATGGAGCCTTCTTCAGCACATACACAGATTAGACAATACTACACAAACACACAATATCACTTATCTTCGTATCTTGTGGCAGCCAGGTCGATGTCAAAACAGTAGTCTTTCACGTAGGGCAGGGAAAATAAATATCCAGCGATATGCCTGGGGCCTTCACCCGAGGATGTATAGGCAGTTCAGCCCCCCTAGGATTTGGATGAAGCAGTTTAGTCCACTGGGCGCCAAAGTTCCCAGAATGCTGAATCAGTCTCTAGATTTGAAGCTGTAATCTGGTGCACTGTTCACTTGATCTCAGAGAGCTTTCACCACCTTCTTTTATCATAAAGTAGCTCACCATGCAGAGGAACAACAGCAGTAAATCTATCAGCCTGCTCTTTAAGCGGCAGCAAAGCATTAAAAGAATATTGATAGTCAAGACAAAAATGTTCAGTAAGTTCATAAAAGGATTGATTATATTCACTGTCCACCATGGTTGCACTTCAGAGTGTCTGCTAGTGTATAACAGCTTCATTTAGTTCTTCTGCAAAGATTGTGTTCAATATCTGTCCGACAAAACTTTAAAATTAGCAGGTTAATTCTTATGTCTGCTCCTTCATATCATGTTAGAAGGGTGTCATTTATTTAGATGAAGTTTGCAACAGCAGAAAATCACAGAAATTGAGAGAATATCAGTGAATGAGAGAGAGAGAGAGAGAGAGAGAAAGAGGTGTAGCTAAAAGAGAAATAGAGTAAAAAAGACACAATATGTTTCTTCATCAGGTGCCTTGTCTGAAGCAGACATATATATATATATATAAAATTAAGTGAACGTTGGCATAATATTATTTCCTACGGATAGTTGTACAACAACTCGACAATGTGGTTTATGCATTTCAGCAATAATTGGATTCATTTTGTGCTTCTTTATATGTTGATATTAATATTTGTTTCACATGCATCTTTGTGAGTTTTGCTTACATCTAAAAGTTATTGTTAATAATTAATATTATTTACTAAAGGTGTTGGAAGCTTGCGTGAAGAACTGTGGATCTCCCCTTCATGTAGAAGTGGCATCAAAGGAGTTTATGGAATTCTTGAAAGACCTGGTCAAGGTAAGATTATTGGCTTAAAGTTGTCATCATGAAAATTTAACCATAATTAACAGTTAGTTCCTTCTAGAGCAGTGGTCTCCAACCTGGGGCTTGGACACTAAATTACACATTTTTAGTGATTGTCTCTTTTGTTATTTGAGACTTTGTTTTATGTGGATGTTTTTCTCCCAAGTTCATGTTAACAGTGCTTGGAATTATTCTTTTTGTTATGATGGGTTGGGGGAGGGGGGAATCTCCCCATGTACTAAAGGAGGCTCCACCTGAAAAAGGAGGTTAGAAGTCACTGCTCTAGAGCACACTTTTAGCAAGATTATTATAATCAATTGATCAGAGTTGCAGATTTCATGGCAGTCAAGTCACCCCGTAGTTGCTTGGTCCCTGTGCTAGCGAAACCACACAGAATGGAAGAGGCTACAGTCACAGCAAAGCCAGTTGCACACACACATCAAATATTTAAGGCAGCCATTAGAGGTGCCAACACAAACAGTCCGCCACTAGAATTACAGGTCATGGTATCATAACATAGAGTTTCCACTTACCCTAGCTTCAGCAGTTAAAAGAAAAAAAAACATTGAAAATATAGTCTCCAGAGACTTGCAGACTTTTTCATGCCAGACTTGATGGCCATGACCTTATGTCAAAAACACTGATTTGGTGAGCATGTTTGAGGTCTGCTGAGGTCGTTAGTCTAGGACCAAGTTTCACACTGACCAAAATGTTGGTGCACCTTTTCAGGGTGCAGACTTATGTTCTGTGATGGGAAGTTTCAGCATTGGCTTGCACACCCTGTTCACTTTTGAGCTTGAGGAGGGAAAGAGGACCTCTTCGACACAGTCCTTGTGGAAATGAAACTTCTTTGCTAGGTCAGAAAGAAAGCCTCTGGTGCATGCATTTCAAAAAAAGGAAACAATCATGTTTGTCCTACACTTTTACACTGAGCGCCCTAATGCATCTATATGAAAAGTGTTGTTGTCTCTAAGAACAGTTTAATGTTCAACCCTGCTATATGGTGCAGAAACTTTACATTGAAAAAGCAACTATAAAATAGAAGTGAGTCACTAGAAATGAGTCTTATTTCACTGACACAAAAACAGTCTAATACTGAGGTTCTGGAAAAACTGCAAATTACAATATAATTACTGACAGAAATTTAAAAAAAAAAAAAACACAGAGACAATTTAAATACTTTGGCCACATTAAAAGACATAAGTAATCCGCTTTTAAAAACCATACTGGGGGGAAAGGTCAAGGGCAAAATAGCAAGAGGTAGACAATGTTACAAGTGGAAGGACAACATCAAGATATGAACGAACAGCATTCTGAGATAGCGTACAACAAAGTCAAGAGACAAGGTGTGTTGGAAATCCATTGCAGCCAGTCTTCAATGTGGAGATGGCACCTGACTGATGATGAATCTGCTGAAACAGTGACATCTTATATTGTGGAGGTCACCAAAGTCGGGCTGTTTCGTCTCGGTGCAGCGTTGATGAATGGGAAGCTCTATATTTCTGTATCTATTATGACAGACTGAGGCTTCAGTTTTTATTTTTTTAAAAATCTTATATCTGTTAAAAATTAAACATTTTTTTTAATTCTTGATATATTGCTTAGAAAAGCCAACCAGATTCAGTAAGTGTAAAACACCTACCCAAATTATGTAATGTTCCTGATAAACATTCTCTTTTACCATTGTTTTTGTTCCCATTTATTATAATTAAAATACCAACCCAGATTATAGTGTCCCATGATTAAGATCTGCTCCTAATATTGTTCCTGTTCTGAAGTAAAACTTCTGCCCAGATTATCGTGTTCCAGGGTTAACTCTTTTAGGACCACATTTTTTCTGGGTTTGGACAGCATAAATTTTGAGCAGATTTTTTTTTTTTACTGCAACATTTCCTGAAGGAAAAGTATTGGCCATATAGGGACATAGAGGATATCAAATTAAAGAGAAATAAATCTAAACTATTCAAATGTCGGTTTTACAGAAAAATATTATTAAAATCACTCAACGCTCAAGGATGTTAGATACATATGAAGGTTATTTACGCAAAAAAGATGTGTGCTTACCTTACTTTTTTCTTGTTCAGAAACACTACTATTCATTTCTAAGAATTCACATGCCTTCTCTGTTCAATTATGTACCAGCTAATCTTTATTTCAAACAATTAATTTAAATACTTTGAATGTTGTGACCATTTTTGTCAGATTTTGCAACAACCGAATTGGTAAAACAGCTGATCGAAACAGATGATCTGATTGAAATATTTTGTTCAGTCTTCATCCTAAACCTATTTATCGACACAGGTTGTTTAAACACCTACCCAAATTATATAATGTTCCAACATAAACATCAGTTTACCATTGTTTTTATCCTTAATTAAAGGAAAGTTTATTACTCAAATTATACAATGTTCCAACATAAACATCGGTTTACCATTGTTTTTGTTTTCAGTTAAAGGAAAGTTTAAACACCTACCCAAATTATACAATGTTCCAACATAAACATCAGTTTACCATTGTTTTTGTTCTCAGTTAAAGGAAAGTTTAAACACCTACCCAAATTATATAATGTTCCAAGGTAAACATCCTCTTTTACATTTTTGCGGGCGTGTTCTCAGCTTTAGCAGAGTTAAATCTGAGTGCTATGATTGCAGTTCTTAATTAAACATTCAGCAGAGTTAAAACACCTACACAAATTATATAATTGTCCATGATTAAAGTTAGCTCTTACAATTTTTCCTGTTCCTAGTTAAAGAAAAGTTAAAAATTCTACCAAATTACTACTGGGCACTGTGAATAAGGTCATGAAGAAATCAACTCAGATGAGAAGTAAAACTCATCGGCTTTTCAATAAAATACAATCAAGGATTAAAAAAAATGATGTTGCTGCTATAAAGTCTTCATCAGCATACACAAACATGCAAATGATACAACCACAGAAAAGATTACATAAAATAACTGAGCATTTGTGGGTGAAATCAACTGGCTTTTATAATATCCATCCATGTTTTAACACAAAAGCTGCTAGCATGCTCTAAAACTGAACTGTCATGGATAGAAAATGGGTGGGAAGTGACCCAGAGAGATAGGATAGGTTGAGGTCAAGAGGTTTAGGTCAGGGAAGGTAACAGTTTATTAGATGAAACTGCATTGCACAACAAGGCCATTAGTAAGTACAGAACCCCATTGAAAGATATGATGATTCTTCAAGATTGAGATCGTTTCTTACCACACCACTGTTTGTTCCCAGATAAAATAAAGCTAAAAGATCTACCCAAAAAATATAGTGTTCTCCCCATGTGGTTTCTGGTGTTCCAATTTTGGGAGCAGTAAAAAGACCAAATTTTTTCTTAACAAGTGTGTCATAAAAAAGTGACTAATTTAAGGCTTGATGACATAAGATATGTTAGACTGAAAGGCACAAATATTGCAGCCTGGCTGTAAACTACAGTGACATGCCAACCACCCTTTTAAGATGAATGCAGAAGAAGAAGATATAGTGTTCCATGATGAAAGTTGGCTCTCACCACCGTTTTTGCTGCCATGTTAAAGAAATACAAGTTAAAACACCCAAATCACATAGTATACCTAGAGTAGGATCACTCTTATCGTTGTTTGTGTTCCCACTTGAAGCATATTTAAAACACCTACCACGTCAACCTTTTACCAAAAAACATGTAGGTTTGACTTGACCTTACCGCTCATAGTTTTACCTGGCAAAGGTGACCTCTGCTTACATCCCTCTTTGCTTACAGTTTGAATTTTTATATGAGGGCTATTCAAAAGTCAACTTTGGATTAGCTGGTAAAAATGAAAACAAACTGACAATAACTTGTAAATACACACAAAAGTTACATACATTACTGCATTACTTTTCCACATAGCCACCTCCTAAATTCAGGCACTGGTTGGACTGTGACATGGATTTTTATATGCCCTCATCAAGGAACAGCACTGCCAGAGTAATTAGCCAGTTGTTGACTCCATCCATAAGCTTGGTGATGGTGTTGAAGCATTAAGTAGTCAGCCAGACCTTCATCTTGCCGAAGAGGTTATAATCGCTTGGTGCCAATTCCGGGCTGTAAAGAAAAAGGGGTTGGGGGAGGGTGGTTGAAATTCCCCCACTTAAATTGCTTAAGTAAAGCATTTGTGCAGCCAGTTTTTTTTCAGTGTTTTCTCTTTTTGATCGACTGATAAAGCTTCTTCAGTGCTTTGCAATAAACTTCTGCCATTATTGTGGTCCCTGATGAGATGAATTCCATCAACAGAATGGCCTTGAGGTCCTAGAACATTGTAACCATCATTTTTGCATTGTGAAAATGTTTGCTTGAATTTTTTGGTTTTGTTTGGAGAATGAATATGCACCCACTTGCCGGAAAGACAATGGCAGCTTCCATGTTTATTTGTTACGATTCATGAGCCATTCAACAAATGTGGCTGTAGGTTGATGTGTAGTGAGCTAAAAGACTAAATGATGTCATCAGTGAACAGTGTCACTGTGGTGAATGGTTGATTTTCACCAGCTAATCCGAGGTTGATTTTGGAATAGACCTCGTATGACCATATTATTGGTATTCATTATGTGGGCATTTGGGCTATCATAGGAGACAATGTTTTAATTGTAAAATGTATTTTTACTGAAAAGTATATGTAGCCGCACCTAAATCATACCTATGAGTTTCTGAATATCTACAGACCACAACCTCCCTTGTCTGCATTCATTAGCACTCCCCACGAGTTAATCTTATTCAAAGCAAACAGTGATTCTTGGTTTGAACTCAAATAAAGGGTCTAAAACCCTGTAGTCAATATTTGTTACAATGAATTGACACTTGTTTCCCTGACTGTTGATTATAGTTAATTTATATTTCCACGCTGAGAATTGTGCTCAGGGGAATTCCACTTCATACATTGAGGATCAGAATTATAATAACTTCAAACACTCATACATGCCTCATCCCCCTGTGGGTTCTGGGATCTCTTTGTGGGGATAAAAGGAATTGACCGACAGCACCGCCCCCCCCCTCCAAACACGCATGTCGTAAAAGTTGACTAATTAGGGGTGTTTCCTTCAAAGTCGGAATGCATTTGAATGAAAGGCAAGGAACCAGCAGTCTGCACAAATAAGCCAGATCTGTAAAACAGGTGTGCATGCAAAATTTGAGTTCTCGAACAAGACTAGTCCAGAAATAGATGAATAACCAGAACTTTCCGCTGGAGTTTACAGCTGGTGAATGCGAAGAAGGAGCGTGCATTTATGGGTAAACAGATTTAATCAAATAAACAGTCACCTAATGGTATGTTTACATACATATAATATTCATGAGAGCATAGTAGTTAGTATAAGTAAGAACAGTGGAAATGGTAAACAGTGATATCTCTTACATGGGATAGCTCGCACATGGGATAGCTCTCACATGGGATAGCTCTCACATGGGATAGCTCTTACATCGGATAGCTCTCACATGAGATAGCTTTGTTTTACTAACAGATCCTCATCTGGGGAAGAATTTAAACAACAGATGGGATAAGAGCAGAAGCGGTAGTAGGCACACATTACGTTGAATGGTAATCATAAACTTACTCCTGGAATTGACATAGACTGATTTAGACTTAGCTGACAATAACTGCGTAATAGGTCATTATGTTTTGTGAAAACGACCTTATGTTGCCAAAATATAGCATGGAAAAGATACACCGGAAGTAGCTGCATTGCAGGCTCTCCTTGTCTTGGCAATAAAAAGAAGTGTTTTCTGAGATTTACCTTTAGACAAACTTTTCTATGTTTTACATATCTGAATTGGTATATATATTTAATAAAAACTAGAACTGCCAGAATGTCGCTTTAAGTAACAAAAGCAGAAGACAGGGTCTCAAGATGCTTCGTAACAAAGAGAAGTATCAAATATATTTGACTTTCTTTCAACTTTCTCTAAAGTCGAAGGCAGACCCAGTGAAAGAGAAGATTTTGGAGCTGATACAGACCTGGTCCCACGCATTTAGGAATGAGCCAAGCTATAAAGCGGTAGAGGATACATTTCACTGCCTGAAGGTGGAAGGTATGGGCTTTTTTTTTTCTTCAAAATTGAGATAATGCAGTTTGTTAGGTGCTGTTTGACCAGATTCAACTCTGGAGCTGGTGGTCAGATGGGTGACATGTTAGGCTCTCACTTAAGAGAAATTAGGGTTTCTCAGCCTGGCAAGACAGAGGTAGTTTTAGATGATTAACTTCATTGCACCAGAGTTTCATCTTGGCTTGGACTCCTCAAAACAATTAGTTTCTGTTCCTGGGGGTTAAACTCAGTAGCTTCAGTGACAGCCCCCTGGAATCTCCAAAATCCCTTCACTCATGAACTAAAGAAGACAATCTGAAACTGAACCCTGGACCCCAAGAGCGTAGAGCAGATGGCTGAACCACTTTTGCATTGAGGCCACATTGTCCAGTCACAATGGCGGATAGAGAGATTTACAGTTTTTAATCATGGCAAGTTTTTCCTTTTGTCAGTAGTTAACTGTTTCACTTTCCTCCATATGTGGACTAAAAAAATATTGTTCTGTCACCCAGCTACTGAGTTTGAGTGCATGGCTTGACACTGTGAGCTGCAGATTTCATTTGGATGTTATTCAACTGCCTAAAGTAGTGTTGTGAACTGCTTATTCAGAAAATGTCAAATGGCCTGTTGCCAGAAAACCTGTGATGTCTTATGCGATTAATTGCGTGTGCAACTACTGATCTGTTGTAACTGCTGATTCAGTCAGCGATGAACTGTGATTCTAGTGATGGAACCTCTGACTTTGGCCTTATGTATTTGATCCACGTGTACGCTGTTGGATTTGCTAAGACTGCAGTCTGTGTCAGTTTTATTTTCACAGATTACTGTGATGTATATTCTGTATGGTTTTCATGACACAGGAATGGAGCAACTGTGGGGTGACCCATATGCTATGAAGTGAAAACTGCAGTTACCTGATTAGCATTGAGACCTCTGTATAAAAAAACATTTTCTGTTAATGGTGACACAAGAATATTCACAGAATTTGTCAGTTCTGGGGGCTTTAATAATATCTTACCCCAAACAGAGGCAATCCACAGGTCACGGGACAGTCTAATATTTCGGTGGTTGAGGGGGGGGGTGGTAGGTAGGCTGCATGCAGTCGTGGTACCTAGGCTGCATGCATTCGCTGGCCCTAGGCTGCACTCTCTCGTGGATGTAGGTGGGTTTTGGTTAGGGCCAGTTCTAGATGTTTTTGGGTCGTTAGAAGCATCAGAAAGTCTGGAAACCCAGTCTTACCACCCTAAAAATGTTGGACTGTCCTGTGACGTCATCTGAAGTAGGATATTAATAAAGGACTCAGTTCTAGTATGCACACACTGGAATTATCATCAACATTACCATGAAGTTCATGTACTGTGCTTAGATTCTAATTTTGTGGTGGTGGAGGGGGGGGGGGGGTGTCCGAGTGCATTTGGAGATATCTGTTCATTGAAAGTTATTCTAAACTAAAACCATACAGGGCCTTTAGAGCGTAAGGCAAATGACCTAACTACTTCTCTGCAGAAAACCCTGTATAAACATACTGCAACCCGTAAAACTATTTGAGCTAAGTAGTTAATGGTTTTCTGTGAAACTATTGTGAGTTAAGTTAATGTGTGTTTGCAGCTGTATCCTGTTTAGGTTTTCTCCAAACACTATCGGAGCTAAGTTGGTGGTTTTCTCCAAAGCTAGTAAGATAAGTTAGTGGTTTTCTATGAAAGTATTATAGCTAAGTTAATGGTTTTGTGTGTGTGGGTAAAATTATTAACATTTAAGTTATTGGTATTCTATGAAACTTTAAAGACTTAAGTTAATGGTTTTCTATGAAACTATTAGAGCTGAATTAATGTTTGTCCGGAACTGTATCCTGTTTAGGTTTCAAGTTTCCAGCTCTGAAAGAAGCAGACGCCATGTTTGATGCTGAGAGGGCACCCTCTTGGAAGGATGGTGAAACGTGTACAAGATGTAGAGTTCAGTTCAGCGTCATGCAAAGGAAGGTATGAGAAAGCACATTGTTAGAATCAAGTCTATTTCATAGTCTATAGAATTGCTTTTTATAGTCATGCTTAATGTTTGTAAAAGAAGGAGTAAAAGTAATGGCATTTACCAGGCCTCGTAACCAGAAGGTTCTTCTTTTGAATTCATCTTTAAAAGGGTGGCTGGCCTGTGGTGTGGTTTACAGCTGGGCTGTGATATCTGCACCTTTCATTTACTATGAATGTTGAATTGACAGCCCTCTTTTTTGGATATATTTAGGTTGATATTTGAAACTCCAAAGAAGAAGTTACCTGCCACTGTTGTTCTAGCAATAATTTAAGTTCAGCAGCATTATTGTTGTTTTCTGTAGCTTGCATTTGTGTGTGGGTAATGTGAAGAACTATTCTGATTATTTTCTTCAGCATCATTGCCGGAACTGTGGAGAAGTTTTCTGCGGCAAATGTTCCAACAAGACCTCTATTATTCCGAAACTTGGCTTTGAACGTGAAGTCAGGGTGTGTGACTCTTGTTTTGACAAGATTAGCAAGTGAGTAATGTGCCCTGTCCGTCCTAGAAAGCTCTGTCACATGATGAAGCTTATACTGTTGTGTGTGTTTTTTCTTTTTTTAAATAATGCTTTACTGCAGTAAGAAAAGTGGGGCATAGTTGCTAGTTAGTTTACTTACCGATACAGTGGTTCTGGGTTCAGTTGTAATATTACAAGAATTGATTTGTCTTAATCATTTCAATAGTGAGTTTGATCTAGCCTCAAGTAATGGGTACCAGAGCATTTGCTGAAAAAGGGAGTTGGTCACTTTATCTTAGCATACCCTGACTTAAAAGGAGAGAGAGAGAGTGTGCGTAATTTGCATGTGTGAGCACTTCTGATGGTTGCCTTATGCTTTTAATGTGTGAGTGCTAGTGGATACGCTGTCTGAAGTAAAGATTAGAGAGAGAGAAAGAGAGTGTGTGCGTAATTTGCATGTGTTAGCACTTCTGATGGTTGCCTTATGCTTTTCAAGAAATTCTAAGGATTCTTCTGTAAAACCATAGTCCTGCTAAAAAAATTGTTTGGCTTGTTTATTAATTGTCAGTGCGTAATTAGTGGATAAGTCACTGTGCAACCTGAAGTCCTGAAACTGATGTAAATTAACTTATGACTAGTTCGACTTATGATCTGTTAGTCAGAACGGAATTTGGCTGTATGTCGAGGAGACCCAATAGGGGGGAGGGGGGGGGAGTGGACTCCTTCAACTTGCTGTTTCAAAACATCTGGGACTCAGCCATCTTATGATTGTTTGGCTTGTTTATTAATTGTCCAGGATTTACAGTAATTTATTAAGACTAAGTCACTATAACATGCAACCATGGAAAAAGTAAATAAAGAAAAGTAACTACTTTGATTGGGTCAAAAAGTTCCTGAAACTGATGCCTAAAGCGCAGCAGTGTCCAATTATAAATACATAGATTGTATTTCTTTGTTTTATTCAGTTTTAAAAACCAGTTGAAAAACAGTATTAAAAAAAAATAGCATTGGCAGACTTATTGTTGACCGGAATCTGGCTCGAGGAGACCCAATGACTCTCCCATGTGCCTTGAAAAAAATGGCAGTTATTGTTGACCATCTCAATGATCTCCCGGAAACAAAATCTGTGCTGTTGCCTCTTCCATGCTTTGTATAGTTAATGATCTTTCTCTTGTTGTTTGTTCTGGCACTTTTCTGAATTTCCAGATGATAGTATTATGTTAAAGCAGTGGTTGGTATTCTACCTGGGGGCGGGGACGAGGAGGTTTAAAAAAGGGTTGGGGGGCAGCGTCAAGCAGGTTTGAAATTGAGTGCATTTTGCATTTGTAATAATCCATTATATAATTTTTTTTTCCAGTTTAATTATAAATCTGATAATATAATGCGTTTTTAAACACTATTTCTAAAACAAAAAGCTAAGGACATTTGTTGTTTTCATAAGCAGTTTGTATATCTGCAGTAAAAAAATCTAATTAATATGATAACACAGGCATTTATTGATTTAGGACACATTCTGACCAACCAATATCTCCATACTGTCTGTTTCTTTTGTTGCGGAATCTATCGGGGGGGGGGGGGGGGGGGGGGGGGGGGGGGGGGGGGGGCGGGGGGGGGGGGGGGGGCATGTAGGTCCTGCCATATACTCAGTAGGGCATGAGGGAGTGGGTTTTGCCATATACTTAGGGGGTGCGCAGGGGTCTTAACATATTCTCAAGCGGTGTATAAGGTGCTTGCCGTAAACTCAAGTGGGGCGCGATCTGCTTTATAGGGAGGCAAAGGAATCACAGTCCAAGGTCAGCTATGACCAGGGAGGGAGGTTCTCCTGTCACTAGCACAGAGCCTAGGCAATTGCAGAGATGTGTGTTCCTCATGCAGCCTGATCCCTCTCTCGGCCTGCCTTGTTTACTCCATAGAATAGGTAACACCAGAACATTTAGAACAAATCAGGCTGCTGAAGCTGCTGACACAGAAGAGCAGGGCTCGGTCTGTCCATTCCTAGAGGTTCTGTACAAAGTCCTACAATTGATGTTGATATATGTTTCTGTATTATATTTCTTCCTAGAGATTCCTACATAGCAATGGCTGGCAGCAATGCTTGTCTCTGTGGACCAGTGTTTTGAATCTGTATCACTGCCATTAAAAAAAATAATATAAATTACAAGTTCCCAGATTGACTGAGCCTGAAATGAATGCCAGGAAGTATCCTGCGAAGTAAAGGAGGCCAGATTATGGCTGACCATACCAACCAGGAAGTGCCAATTCTTCTGTAAAAACATAAGTCTAGCGTCATATGCCCGACGAGCCACAGGCGTAACAAGGGTCTTTACCATAGACTCAGTGTGGGGGGGAATTTGTCATAGCACAGCGGCTAACACATGTCTACCAGCCTTAAAGTCATGTATTTAAAACTTCCTAAATGTCAGATTGTGTGGATAAGTGTAGAACTGTATAACTTGGAATGTCTTTGCACTGGAACCCACAGGGGCATAGAAATAAAAGCAGATCAAAAATCACATGGAGAAGGAAGCTAGAGAGTGAAGTTAAAAAAGTTAGAGGGGGGGGGGATATGGGGAGAGCTGCATGAAATAGTGAGGGATAGAACGACTTAGTGTGAGTTGGTTAAAGGACTATGTTCCTTTGGAGGATAGAAAGCAGAAGAAGAAAAAGATGGGTAGGATTCTCCCTTCCCCCTCCTCCTGGCTGTAGTTGACTTGGGTTCCAACATCAGTACAGCATAAAATGGGTACCAGAAAATTTCCAGCATAATGAACACAGCTGGTATGGTGTTTACCATGTCCTCTACCAAGTAATTTTCTTTCTTTACCCTAGACCCTCTTCTGTCTTTTTTAGGGTCAGCTTTTGAAGAAGCATCTGGTGCAAGCCTCTGTATGTGTGTGTGTGTGTGTGATATGCAGACGCTGGTATTCATGGCCTTAGATATTCTGTTCATCTGTCGCTAGTATGGGCGATCTCTAGCGCTCCTTCTGCTGTGTCTTAATGACAGGGCTGTCTGTGGTACACCCTTCTTGCAGTAGTCTTGAAACATATCCAAACAATTTGATCTGTTGTTTCCTGATGTAGTTTAGCATAAGTTTGTTTTTTGTAATGCACCATAAAATATTTGTAAGGGGGTCTAGTGGACCCCCCCCCCCCCCCCCCCCCCCTTTTCCCTTTCTCTCAAGCACTTCCACAGTTTTCTTTGTGTTGGTGACCCTGCCTTGAATGAGCACTGAGTTATTCTCATTACACATTAAGCTAGTCAGCCCATAACTTTTCCAGTCTCAAGCAGCACCTGGTGAGTGAATGGCTCTGCTCCTAATTTCCCTCTATAGCATAACGTAGTCTCTTATCTTTTTAAATGTGGTCAGAACATATAAAAAAATCTGGCCCTTCTACATGGTCATTACTATTGTTTATATTGCCACTTTGGATGTAATTAATTCATCATGGTTTTTTTTCCATCACTTCATATATTTCTCAAACTGGTACTGAAAGCAATAAGTACTCAGAATCCATTCCTCGTGACTGTTAACACTGAAAAGTTTAACTAACGAAGATTATCTGTTACCTTCTTAAAAACTGGTCATATTTTTCCATGCACTAATATAGGATCAAAAAGACAAAGAAAACAAAGAGGTGAGAGTGGTGGCTTTTTGAATTGTGTAGTGATTGTTTCCAGCCATTTATTTTCTTTGTGTGTTTAGTTTTCTCCAGAACATGAACAGGAAAGCATTTTCACATTTGTGTGTATTGTAACAGCAGAAGTGATTGTCCTTGCAAGACACTGACTAGGAAGATTAGATTTTACTTAATTTTACTGTGTTATTTACTTATTTGGTCTCGTTTTTTTGTATTGTGCTTTGTCAGCGTAGCCTATTTTATGAACATAAAGCATGTTTATAATTCACTTTACTATAACTGTGTCTGTTCACTCCACATTGCCCCCCTTCCCCTGACTAATAATCATTTGTTCTTGGTATATATAGGCATAGCTTATTGCTGGGCTATTCAACTGGTGGCCTGCCTGCCAAATGAGGCCCACAGCAGTCTAGCTAGTGGCCCACGGATAATTGCCCGTTGTACAAGGTCTGACAATTAAGTAATGAGACTGGTTTTATTATGGCCAAGACAAAAATGCCATCTACGAAGCAAAGCATGGAATCTGAAAAGGCAACCTTTACCTATGATCTGGCAACTTTTCATCGCCACAAGATAAGCAGACAACAAACAAGCCGCCATTTTGTTGACCTAGTCAGAAGTGCATTGTTACATAATCAGCAGGGAGCAAAAAGTTTAAATTAAATTCTGTTTAAAATTAAGAAAAGGTACCACTGAGATGGTTCCATTGAAGGGATAAATTTATGGGGAATAACTGTTTTTCTCGTGCATAGATTTTCTGGTGGTATTCACGATTCAAAAGTTGTGAGTAAATACTTACTAATGCGACTGGATCTGGACGCCAAATTTCTGTTCATAACGAGGAACTTATTGCAAAAGTCACAGAACGGATACAAGAAGATTGTTGTTTTACTGTCGGGATGATGGTAGATGAATCTGGTGGTAATAGAGAGACCCTTCGTAGAATTCTAGTGCAAGATTTTGGCAAGAAAAAAGTGGCTTGTAGGTTTGTACTGCATTTGATGTCTTATGACCAGAAACATCAGCGGGTTGAGTACTCACAAGACATCATCAAAACAGGAATTTTTTGGCCCCAAAACAAGTGTGTGTTCTCAACCATTCACCCTATTTCCCAGATTTGTCTCCCTGTGATTATTTTCTATTCCCAAAATTAAAGTTACAATTAAAAGGACGCTTTTTTGATGATATTGATGACATCCAAAGGGCCGTAACATCAACTTTAAGGGCCATGGCAACACAAGAACTACAGAGGTCGTTCCAGTTTTTGTTAGATCATGCCACTTGCTGCATCAGTGCACAAATGACTTACTTAGAGTAAAATACAGGTTATTTCAACTGTTGATTATTTTAATTTTTATGAAATCAGTCCCATTACTTAATTG